CAATAAATACATATCATATTTGTTTGTATGTATATAGTTTGAATTTTTCGTAAATAATTTCGTAAGTTGTGTGATAGGGTTTTCACTTATAGCCGCTTGATGTCGTGTCTGAAATCCACCGCAGGTGGATTGCCTACCTGATTTGCTGTGGCACATAGTCCGCGATCCGACGAAGTCGGATTGCCTACCTAAGTGGCTAACTTGAAAGTTAATAGATTTTGACTTGAGATGACTGACTTGCTAGAAACTCCAACACGGTTTTCGACTTTACACTTTTTACATAAGATAAAGCACCGTTCATGCTACGGCACATACCACTCTATGTGCAGCTATACTCTATATAGGTGATCCTGGAGATCGTATCCAGCCTATCCATTTACAACGTTTGTGACGGATTGCTAGACACTCAAACTTTTAACATTCCCGCCAAAGCGTCTAGCCTTATCTCCAATCCATATCACTAATCCTTATCACAAATCCTAAACTTTCGTCTTACAACCTTTGCGACTTTTATAATTCATTGTCTCCAAAATCGGTACCCACTCTCAGCGATTCCAACGGGCCCCGAGTTATACTTAGAGCTAGTAGTTAATAATATCATGGAATAATTTGAGTATTAAATTATTTCCTCCATGGTTGCCCCCAACAGTTTGTATCTCTCTCATCAATGTCGATTTCATGATTTCTCTCTCTAAGCGCAGTCCATTTATTAATATGTCTATGCTATAGTGAAACCGTGGCGAAAAAATGAAACACCGCTCCGTTTCCCCAGCCCGCCGGCCGTGTCCCGTTGATTCCTTATAGCTCGACCAATCGCGTACCTTCGCAGCGGCGGCAGTCGGTTTTAAAATGTTTTTCGTTATCACCTCTTTTCCTATCATTTCGCCGATTTTTGAAATTTTCGGAAAATTAGCTGTTTTTACACGATTTCGACCCTTTTCGTCCTTTTTTATACTTAATTCGAAGCCGCCGGTGTGCGGTTTATATTCGTGCGCCGTTCGAAGCGGTCGCAATGTCGATCGAAAAATACACTCCCGACCGGACTTTTTTGCCGATTTTTTCCTTTTCTCCCACCGTTTCATCTATTCGCACGCCGTTTGTGCCCGAATCGTGAAGTCCACGTCTTTTTAAAGCCGTTTATATGGGCTTTTCCCCCGAAATCGGTTCGTTCGCCTCGCAATCGCGTTTAGAAATTACGCCGGCGACCGACCTACCGTACGCGTATATATACATATATATACGTGTATAATTTAATTTTTCCCTATGATGTAATAATTATTAACGGAAAACGCTTTTCACACGCCCCGTTAAATATATATATGGGAGATGCGCGTATTACAAGCGAATTATATGCGATTACATCGATGTACATCGAATATATCGGTTTACGTCGCTCCGTAGACGCACGGCTTAAGTGTTGATGTTTTGTACGTATTTCACATCTCAAACTGTGTCCAAGTAGATTGGGCGTTAGGTAGGAAACACGTAGGTCCCGGGTTCGAATCCGTCGTACGCTGCCCGAGCGTCAAATCCGGCATTGCCGTAAGGTCTGACTTTTTTTTGCATTTTTTTTTCACGTTATTTTTCATATAAATTAAATAATAATTTAATAATACAGGAACATATCGTACATTATTATTATTTAAAGTCATTGTCATATTATATCACACAACAAATAGGTACATATTATATTGGTTTTGTTAGGAATTATTATAATTGCATATTTTTTCAAAAAGTCCATGATTGTTATAAAAATATAGTTTGTATTTTATTTCGGATTGCCTACCTAGGTGGCTAACTTGAAAGTTAATTTGATTTTGACTTGAGATGACTGACTTGCTAGACACTCCAACACGGTTTTCGACTTTACACTTTTTACATAAGAAAAGGCACCGGACATGCGAAGGCACATACCACTCAATAGTCAATGTGATATACCTACTACATGTAGGTGATAGTCGATAGACGGATTGCTCATTTTAGTTTCGTCTTAAACGGTGATGATTGACTTGATAGACACTTTAACATGCAGGTTTTTGCATTTTTTTTTAAAATTTATATATGTATATACACTATAGGTACATGTTTATATTTATTGTATTGGTTAATATAATAATGTGTACCTAACTATCTACCTATATGTTAATTTTTTTTAGGAATTATAATTGCACATTTCTCAAAGTGTTCATTTTTATATTATATCACACAATAAATACATATCATACTTGTTTGTATGTATATTGTATATAGTTTGAATTTTTCGTAAGTTGTGTGATAGGGTTTTCACTTATAGCCGCTTGACGTCGGGTCTGCAATCCACCGCAGGTGGATTGCCTACTTGATTTTTTGTAGCACGTTGTCCGCGATCCGACGAAGTCGGATTGCCTACCTAAGTGGCTAACTTGAAAGTTAATAGATTTTGTCTTGAGATGACTGACTTGCTAGAAACTCCAACACGGTTTTCGACTTTACACTTTTTACATAAGATAAAGCACCGGTCATGCTACGGCACATATCACTCTATGTGCAGGTATACTCTATTATAGTATATAGGTGATCCTGGAGATCGTATCCAGCCTATCCATTTACAACGTTTGTGACGGATTGCTAGACGCTCAAACTTTTAACATTCCCGCCAAAGCGTCTAGCCTTATCTCCAATCCATATCACTAATCCTTATCACAAATTCTAAACTTTCGTCTTACAACATTTGCGACTTTTATAATTCATTGTCTCCAAAATCGGTACCCACTCCCAGTGAGTCCAACGAGCCCCGAGTTACACTTAGAGCTAGTATAATATATTATATAATATTATTATCTATGATCCGATGATCGCACAGTATCGCATCGTACCAAACTACCAACTGATTAAGTATTTGAAGTACCTACCTACAACCTACCTATTTCATACTTTCATGGTGGACGGTGGTGATGTGCATGGTTTTTTAACAAATACTTTTTGATCGTTAACAATATAATGTATGGTTATACGATCATAAATATTTAAAAAAAGAAAGGCTACGAATCTATCCCCGCAACCCGCCCACCGTTCGACCAATACTGGATCGCACTCTCCCACAGTCTACACCATGGCTACCTACTCAACACACAAAATCACAACATATTTTGACGCTAAATGCTCGTTTTGATCACAATAAATCACAATAACATATTATAATATTAAATTGTCTAATGTCTTCTCTATTGCTGTAACAACTAATAACAACTGCATGCATTCAAACTGTGAGGACAGCGTTATTATTCTTAGATTTATTTTAATCGAATAGATTTTTTTACTGTGATGAGTGATGTGACTGTCTTGACTTGTTAATAATAAATTGGTATTTGATGTTTGGTAACTGGTAAGTATATATTAAGTGAATTAAATATGCATGCACTAAAAAGTAGGTACAGTTAATATGCTTTAAAAATATGCACTTATTTTTTTTTTTTAATGCATTATTTTCATAAATACAAATATTTTACTAAATTATACATAACAACAGGACAATATTAATATTTTAGTAAATTAAACATACTTGCCCTAACGTATAAATATGTAAGATAAAATAAAATAAATAAATAGCTTGAATAATGTTCTCGAAATAAAATAAATGTCTGTGTTGATTTTATAAATTTAGCCCCCCCCCCCCAAAAAAAAAAATCAGTTGTCCAAATTGCGCCTATGCTAAATATGTAAAAATATGAACTATAAACTTTTAATATGTTTTGCGTAGTGTTGAAATAATTTCACTTAGCAGTACCTAAGTTAAATGCCCGCAATAAAAACATGCAATTGCAACAAATCTTTCGAGCCCTACTTATTAATATAGGTATAGGTACTTAGCTAGAGACAATATCAGTTAAACATTTTAAAATAATTTCTCAGATTTGTATTACAATACCTACATAAGACAATATGAGTGACTCCACGAAAAGACGTCGTTTGATGGATGAGTTAGATGAAATTGGTACAATAGTTGAGTCCAATGCATTACAGCAATTGGAGTTATCTGATGAAATTATAATTTCCACACCTTTTATTAGTTCAGCTGATTTAATGAATAATTCTATTTCTACTACTACTGTGACTATCCAATGTCCTGAGGCTGTAGTAAATTATGTTCATCAGCAAGAGGAACAGATTGTGTCTCATCGTAAGTACCTAGCTATATACAAAAAAAATGTTTATCTATTATAAGTAGTAATATACAATCTGAATAACATTTTTAAAATTATTATAGCGGAAAACGATCAACTTTTATCATCAGATATTGATGATGATTATGACTATTACAACATATTATCTAGCAGCGAAAATTCCGATAATAGCGCAATTGAAAGTGCAGATGACTTACCTGAACTGACAATTAATGATCAACTTTCAAGTTGGAGTGTTGAAC